ATAGGTATAGTTCAAGTGTGGGGGAGATGAACCTAGTAGGAAAATTAGAGTTTATTTGCTTTATTTGACTTCTTTGTTTTGTGTTTTAGTTTGAAAAAAAAAATATCTGCACCACACTTTTGTTATGCATTCATTATTGATCTCACCTTATTTTATCACTAGTCTATACATACATTGAGGACAATGCATGATTTAAGTGTGGGGGAGAGAAATAAACATTTTGTTTTGTTTGTTTGGTTTTGTTTGGTTTTGCAAAAAAAATTCAAAAAAAAAATTTCTTTGTTTTGTTTTGTTTGAGGTTACTTAATTACCTAGCTCTTGAATGGATATTTTGATTCTTGAGATGTGGTAATTTTTAGGATTGAATAGGTGTGAAGTGAACATTCTTTTACCTTGAATTAATGGATTAGAGTGGCATATTACCCATTCATGGAAGAGGCTAAACACTCATGTGTGATTAATTCCTTAGTGATGTTACCCTCTAGAATTTGTTTCACTTCTTAATTAAGACCATATATCTTGCACTTGTTTGATAGGAGATGAGAGATGGCATTCATAAAAAATAGCCAAGAGCCAAATAGCCAACCTATTATTATTTATTATCCTTTGTTAGCCACTTTGAGCCTTTGGTTTGATTCTTAAAAAAAAAATATTCACCCTATTTTTCCCCAAGGAATGCATGTTACACTTTTATATGTCTTTTTAATATTCATTGCATGTCCTAGATCAAATGAGTGGATGCCTATTATCATTTCTCTATCCATTACTTCCATTGTTTTCAAAGAGTTAGGGGCAACCAAAAAAAAAACAACAAAGATAGATTTGAAAAAAAAAATATAGTCAAAAAGAAAAGAAATAAAGTTGCTAGAAAAAAAAAAAAAAAGAAGAAAAAAAAAGAAAAGAAAAAAAAAAAATAAAAATAAAAAGTTGCCTAGCTCATCCATTCCATTTGTTTTATTATTTCTTATCATTTCTTTCCATCCTCATTGTGTTAAGGTGTTCACTCAATTGAGTTAGGTTATGCTTTGCATATTAAGGGGATATATCTTGATTTAGCATTATTTTGATGCTAACCCTATTTTTTTATATACATGCATTTCTTAGACATCCTTTCATTACCTATATCACAACCTAATAAAGTCCATTTGATTCTTGATTGCAAGTGCTATTTAGTGATGGAGATGTAGAAGGGTTACAAATTCATAGTAGGGTTTATCCTAAGAAATTTTGAGTGAAATTTAATACCTTATACACTTTGAGTGATGAGAGCAAACACTTAACCTAGAGAGGCTTACTCTTTGACATTGATTCTTGGTAAGGGTTTGTTTGTGATGTGCATAATTCTTTCGTAATTATTGCCACATTGATTGATAATTTGTAGAAGTTCATGAGCTAGTATTTTAGTGACTTGAAACAATGTTTTTCTCTTATTTCTTTGTCTTATAGTTTCTTTTGGGACCTTTTTCACTTGATTTTGCCCGGAGTGCAAAAGCTAAGTGTGGGGGAATTGATAGAACACATTTGTTACCCACTTTTATTTGTCAATTAGGACCATTTTATTAATGATTTATCACCTTCAAGTGCACACATTGCATTAGATTTGGAACTTTGCCTAAGTTTCTAAGATCAGTGCACTAGGGGCATTTTGGTCCAAAAAATGAACTTTTGAGAAAATGTACAAGAAAAATTGACAAAGTGCATTTTATGTCCAGTTGATGAATGGTGAAATTATATTTTTAAAATTCATTTTAGTTTGGGAGTAATTAAATAAAAAAGTCAACACTTTCTTAAGTGTCTTAGTTTGTCCTAGTTTTTGGTTTGCCTTTGTGTGAAAATTTTTATATAATTTTGTGCAGCCTGAAACTTGGTTAATTTAATAAATTCTCCCTTCTAATTATGAATTTAATTCTGGACATGAATTAGATTTTATTATATCATATGCTATTTAATTGAATTATGTGATTTATGTGACATAGGTGGCATGTGACTTGTGCATCAATTGGGCAATTGAGGTCAACACTCCTTGAGGACAATGGCTGATGGTTTGCACGTGAATTATGATTATTTTGAGGGATTAGATCAGCTAAAATGATGTGGATGACACATGGGAAATTAGGCACACATTGGAATCATCTACAAACCAATAGGAAGTTGCCACCTTGCAAGTGTGACAAGGCTCCCATTTACATTTTAATTTCTTTTTCCTTATTTTAATTAAGCTTCAGCTGATGGGAGACACCAAGGAGCACGCCATTTTAAGTCCCAAATGGGATCCAACACATATCTCATTCATCTTCCACATTCTCTCTCTCTTGTTCATAGTGTTCTTCATTTTCTCTCTTTTGTTCTTCATTTTCCAGCACCCTAACCTCCATTTTCAGCCACCAAACCTCCACAAAACTCATACCATTCTTCTCCTCTCTTCATTTTCGTTCCATCCCTTCCATTTTCACAAGGATTGAAGCTCATTTTCATCATTCAAGAGCTATGGAGTTTGGCCTTCACAAGCAATCACTAGGGTTCTTGAAGATGAAGATTGGCTAAGTTTCTTTGTGGAATCCTAGAGAGATGAAGATGGAGGATGAGTCTTGAGCTTCAAATTGGCTAAGTTCTTTTGTTTCCTATCCTCTTCTCTTTTTACTAGATGGTTAGATTCCTTAATCTAGGGTTTAATCATCTTAGCTTATAAATTCTAATTTGAATTTGATGTTGATGTAAAGAGAGAGGATTGTTTCATTTAATTTCTTCCTTGGACAGCCATGACTGAATTTTGCCACTCTTTGTTTGGCACATAATCTTGTGTTTTTCAATTAGTGAATTTCTTGTGTTAATATTGCATAATCTTGTGGTGTTAATGCTTGTGTTGTTGAGTAGCTTGACATAATCTTGTGGTTGCTCAATTTATGTGTTTGACCATGGCTGTTGAGAGAGGATTTTGAGTGAATCACTTGGCTAATGTCTTCACCAATTGGTTAATTGAACTAGGGACTTTAATCTAAGACCTAGGGAGGTTAGCTAATTAGGTTAATTGGCTTAGGATAATTTTCTTAAGTCATGACAGCTTTAGTCAAGAGGAAAGGGAAGCTAAACTTAGCCTAATCATGAGAAGATAATGAGTCCAAAATCAACTAATCTCTAGGGTTCCATTATTGTAAAAAGGGAAGTTCATTTCACTCACTTTCACTAGCATTTTAATTACTTGCATATTAGGTAATTAGTTTAGATAATTAGCTAGATAACTAAATTCCTACAAACTTTGGTTGATTTATTTCACTAGATAACTTTCAATTAGACTTAAAACCATTCCTTGGGAGATGACCTAGGGTTGGCCCTATATTGCATTAGGTTAGCTTTAGTGTAATTTTGAGGATAAGCGACTAATTTCCTATCATAGAGCCAAGATTAGACCTATTTAGCCTATGACAATAGTCATACATCATTCAAAATTGTTCTTGGAAACACCTAGAAGATGCTTCTTTCTTTGCTCTTGAAGCCACTGCCTTTGAAACATTACATTCCACTTTCTCTTAGATCTCTCAATTATATCTTTCAATTTATACTTGGGATTTTCTTTCACAGTTTTGTGAATACTCCTATTTAGACATTTGGATTTAACAATTTATTATCCACCTCCCTACTGCATGTATGGTTGTTATTGATCATCCTTAATTGCCATGTCTCTTCTCCCTTTAACTTAGCACAATATGCCTTCCAATTATAGTTTGGCTTTCACCTTAATCTAATTCTTTCCTTGTCATTTTTCATAAACTTAAGCCCTTTACCTGCATGCACATGATATAATACTATGGCTTCTTTAAAATCTTCATCAGTGTTGTAATAGTTCCTTACCTCCTACTTGTATTCACTCATATTTTTTAGCTACTTATGCATTGGAAACCTATCTTTAATGCATCTACCTTTTCTTTGTTTTCATCTCCAACTTCTTCCTCATCATCAAGGCCCTCCAAATCTTCACTTTCACTTTCTTCATATGAATTTTCTCTACATTGTATATTGACCTCCCTAATGTTATGGAGATAATATTCTTCACCTTCATCCACTTCTTCTTCACTATCATTAAAGTTAATATTCAAGGCACTATATTCATCACAGTTGTTCCCCATCTTGTATGCAAGCTTTTGAATCTATACATAATTAAGTCCAAATTGTATTAGAAAGTAAGAATTAAAGAATTTAGAATGATGAACAAGTGTGATTACATGTAAATTTGAAGAATAATCCATTGATTTTGTCATTAACTCTTTTTTCCATTTGTTGATAATTGAAAGTAATAAGTTCCTTCTCTTTTGTGCAATAACAAGTTTTAGGAGACAGTTTCTAGAATTATAATTTTCATGTCAAAAATAAAAATTCTATGTCTATTATTAATCAACATGTCTATTGTTAGTTGATTTCTAACTTCATCGACTCAAAAAAAAAAATTGCAAGAGATGATGAGACATTCACCAAAGAGCAAACCAAAATGGAGCCAAAAAGCAAACAATAAGGGAGAATAGATGAAAAGAAAAAACATACAATCTTTACAAATATAAGAGTTTTGGATGTCGAAAGTACCTATAAAACAATTTGTAGAGATGAGAGTTTCAATGGCAGTTTTTAATATTAGTTTTTGATCAATTTGTAAAGATGAGAGTTTTAATGGCAACTTTTGATATCAATTTTTGATGTCAATTGTTTTGATAGAGATGATGTTGTAGGGTTTATTTTAAAAAATTTTGAATTTTCATATATTTTAAATTTATGATTAACATGCCAACACTTAAAAATACTTTTTAAGCATAAAAAATTATACAATCAGCATTTTTTATTAATGGAATTAATGGTGTTAGAGTTAAGGAACAAAAATTTTTTTTATAAAATTAAAAGATTAAATTAAAACCTCCTCTAAAATTAAAGAATTAAAAATACATTTTAACCTATATATATTATGATCTATAATAATAATAATAAGTAGAGGATATATTGGAATAGGAGATGGCCACTCTCACAAGTCACAACACACCCATTATCTCGCACAGTGGTTGCTAACGAAGCTTTGGCCCCTCCCCTCCGCCACCAACGTCGATCCGAACATCTACCATTTGCCGTTCAACAAATGCTTGCCTCTTGCCTCCGATTCGCACCGCTACGTTGCCTCTTGCATCTGATCGGCGTTGTTCCATCGCCTCTCGCCTCTGATTCACGTCGAGCCGTCGCCTCTCGTCTTTGATTCGAGTTTCTCTTTGTGGGTCCTCTGATTCCTTCACGTCCTCTATCTCTAAGGTATTTCTGCTACTTGCTACTGGCTGATGCTGTTAATTTCTTGTTCATTCTATGAGATACCTGAAGTGATATGTTGTTAGCAAGCAATGCCAGGCGTTGAATAGTAAAATTCGAACGAGAACTATGATTTATGACAATTCTCTCATGCTGCTTTTTTACTTTGAAACTCAAGTCGATGACCTCTTTCCCACTTAAACAACATAGGATTGAGCTTGTGCCTTTAAACTGCTGCCGTAGTTGTTACCTGTGCCTAAACATTTTTGCTTCTGGGACAAATGGCATTTAGCACTTGTATTCGAATAGCTCAAACAAACCAGCCCATTTAACAGTCTAAAGTTCTTATAAAAGTTCTACTTTGAGAATTCCAGTTCCAGAAACTGAACCAGGACTCGCAGATGTTGCATTTTGCGCTTATAATTTTAACTGAGCAAATCTGTTTTATCCTCTCCTCTGAGAATTTAATTTCAAACATGTGATCTTTTTTACTTTTTATATAATATCCTCGATGCCTTTTCATTCTCAGACAGGACAACATTTATCTCCAATCTGAAGTTTTTTTTTTTTTTTTTTTGTCTTCAGATGACCCTAAATCCAAAGTTGATAGCTTTATGTGTAACTCATCAAATCATTTTTATTTAGAGCTAAGTAAAAGATATTAATTAACTGGGACGCTCTTGCTGGATGGCTGTGGAAGATTTAAAAAACTGTTCTTGCAATTAATTCCCTCTGGAAAGTAGAGACAGACATTATAAACCCCTTAGTTTATTGAAATTTAACTGTAATTGATGATCTGTAACTATTCAATATAAAATTTAGCTTAGCCCATTTGCATCCTAAAATTTAGATGTCACAAAATCACTATTTTTAGCAAGCCTGTTGTTCATGTTTTTATTTACACATTCTCAATTTTATTAATATTTTTTTGTGTTTTATCCTTGTGAAATTATGGATATTGAGTAAAATTCCAGCATTGACCAATCTCAATCTTCTCTTTTTATTGGTAAAATTTGTTGTTGACTTAGTTTAATGTACTTTAGATATGTTGAAAGTTGTTTAATTTGAATCCTTTGTATTGTAGTTGAAATACTTTTTGTTATTATTGGAGATTGTTATGGATTTATATTTCTTGTTGTTGTGATAAATTTTATATGATTATAAGTAATTTTATTATCTTAATTGAGTTTATTAGGTTTATATAAATTGTTGCTTCTCATAGAGAAAAAGAAAAAAACAAAGTGAGATACTAGACAGGACCGGAACTAGTCTCTTGGCCCTACTAGACTAGTCCAATTTTGTTCAGCTTCGAGTTATATTAAGACTAGACCATCATGGGTTGTCTAACTCAATTTTTTTCATGAAAAGGTCTAGACTTTGAGTTAGGCCAAAGTCCTATCTAGTCCATCTTTTGTGCAGCCCTAACTCCACTCATTCTTTTCTCCATTATTGCAGTAGACGTTGCGTCAATCGAGAGTTCTCACTCAAACCAAGAGTTCTCACCTGATCCCCTGCCACTGTTTATCCGCCATTGAGGTTCTGGCGTCAATCGAGACTTCTTCACCATCTGCTGTGCTGCTCGAGATTTCTATTTTGGCAATTTCCTAATTGAGTGCATTGGAAAGGTAGGATTATGAAGTTTGACTACGTAGAAAATGAATAGAGACTTGAGTCCGCTTCTGTTTATCTGAGTTTATTGGATTACTTTGCTTCTTCTTCTTTTTTCTGAAGTTTGGGTCTTTTCGTTCCGTTTTTATTTTCCATCTCCTGAATGTGTGAAGCTCTGTTTATTGGAATGTTTAATGCTGTTCTGTTTCAGCTTTGATCTTGTACAATTTTTGGGTTTATCTAATCTCGACTTAGGCTGTAATGCTGTTATGTTTTGGTTCACTGGAGATCAATAGAATAGAGGCTGTATATGGTTTAAAAGCCTTGTAAACCATGATTTAAATCTATCAATTTAGATGTTTCTTTCAGATTCTCTCTAGTGACAGTTTATAAAACATATCTTGGCTAGTCCATGCAGACGAGATGTTTTGTTATTATTAAGCTTATCTATTCCCATTGTTTCATTCCTTAGATTGGTTCTGCAGTAACTTAGAGCGGGTAACAAATTTATATATTTTCAGCATGTAGCTCGTCCTTTGAATTGTTTGTGGAGGTTTCTGTATGGCTTTAATTTTCTTGTTTATATTATTTATAGAGCTGAAATTTAATATGAATTGAAATGGATTTAAAAGCTTTTAGTGCTACTTCATTTCTGTTTTTGCAAGTTTGTGGCCAGAGATTACTCTGCTGGCAGTGTTTAATGCTGTTCTGTTTCAGCTTTAATGCTTTTCTGGAAGTTTTTTTATTTAATTATGGCTGTAATTTTCATCATTTAATTATTGGTTTTATTTCTGTTGTGTTAATTTATTCTCATTGGTAATGTTGTGGTTTATCCTTGTGAAGTCATGGATATTTATTTTTTTGACCTATGTATCAAGTGTAATTGATGCTGGAAGAGATAATTGCATGAAGATTTGTTGTAATGTAGTTTAGACATGTTGAAGTTTTTTGAATGTTGTTATAAATTTGAATCCTTTGGATTTTGACTTTAATACTTTTTGTTGAATACTTTTTGTCATTTTTGGAGATTGTTATAAATTTATTATGATTAGCTTTTAATGTTTTGTGATAAATTTTATTTAATTATATGTATTTTTGTTATCTTAATTGAGTTTATCAGATTTAATTTTTACATCTCATAGAGGAAAAAGAAAAGAAAACAAAGTGAGGTACTAAACTATCAAGACTAGTTTCCCGATCTTATGGAACAAGTTTGGTCTAGCCTGATGTCTAGACTAGACTAGACCACAGGTTGCCCAACCTAGTCCTTTCTATGAAAGAGTTTAGATATTGGGTTAGGTTGAAATCCTGTCATGTTTGTCTGATGTGCAGCCTATCTTCACCATCTTCCTCCTCTAAGGCAGTAAGAGGATGATGATTAAAGAGGCAAAAATCCCCCTCCATACTCCATAGTATGGAAATACCTGGCTAAGTAACCAGCTTCCCTATTACAATCCCTATAAACAATTGTAAGAGTTAGTTGCATACAACAGAGATCTTTCAAGACTGATTCTATCAGCAAGTGTAGAAGCAATGTTGTTGCTATGGAAAATTCAAATCTTCTCTTTGATTTCCAGTTCTTGAACATTAATGTCTTGCAAGATGACTACATCTTCTCTACTGTTAGTTTTTCTCCTTGGTTTTTGAACAATATATTGAACTTCTAGTAACAGATTCCTTATTTAGTTAGTATAATTTTGGTTTTACTGAGTTATTGAAACTACGAAAGTTAATGTAAAATATTAAAATTGTTGGTTGTATTAGGTGTGAAATAGAATTCTTAAAGAGCACCTAAGAATTCATTTCTTTTGTTTCTTCATGTATTCCTCAACCATCATTTTCCCATTTGAAAGTTAGCTGTAAATTTGATTGATTGTGATGCAGCACTTTAATTATGATATATATGCAGTACAGTATTCATGACAAACTTTTGACCTGGTAATATGCTTTACTTAAACATTAGAGTTTTAGCTAAGAATTTGATGGACAAAGTATCTTAATTATGTGCTCTTTGTATATTATGCAATCCCAGAAATTTGCTTTTCGAGATGGCCAAGGACCAACCAGTATCTGTGAAAGATGCAGTTTATAAATTGCAACTATTCCTTCTTGAAGGCATTCAAAGTGAAGACCAGTTGTTTGCAGCTGGATCTTTGATGTCAAGGAGTGATTATGAAGATGTGGTAACTGAACGATACATCACAGACATTTGTGGTTATCCACTGTGCTCTAATCCCTTGCCATCTGAATCTGATCGCCCTCGGAAGGGTAGATATCATATTTCTTTGAAGGAGCATAAGGTTTATGATCTACATGAGACATACAAGTATTGTTCTTCCGGTTGTGTTGTTAATAGTAAATCTTTTGCTATGAGCTTGCAAGATAAGAGATGCTCAGTTTTAGACCCGAAGAAACTTAATGATATCTTTAGGTTGCTTGGGAATGTGGATGTGGATGTTGGACCAGACAAAAAAGTTGGAAAGCCTGAAGAATTAGGTTTGTCTGGCTTGATAATTCAGGAGAAAACAGAAACTAGCACGGGGGATGTGCCTTTGGAGCAGTGGATTGGCCCATCAAATGCTATTGAAGGCTATGTACCAAAACAAAGAGATAGTGATTTTAAGGGTTCCTCCCGGAAGTCTATTAAAAAAGGTTGGAATTTCATGGCATTTATGGATCTTTTTAGGTGCATATGCTTTTTCATGCTAGTGTCTTACATGTATTCTGTTGAACTTAGGCATATGGGTGAGTATACAGCTTTGAAGATCGGTGGTTTAATTGTTGCTATGTTTATGAAGTGGATGAATAGAATCACTAATTTCTATTTTTTTTTTTTAATGAGAAAGTGAGCTTTGATTGTGCATTGCAGGGTCTAAAGCCAATCATGGCAAGATGAGTGGCAGTAAAAATTTGATTATCAATGAGATGGACTTCACCAGCACTATAATTACTCAAGATGAGTATAATGTATCTAAGCTGCCAGTGGATCAAAAAGAGACAAATTCAGATTTTAAAATTAAACCATCAGAAATGAATCACGAAAATCTAGAAAATCAATTAGAAAATCTGAAATCATCATCTCATCCTTTGAAGATTAATTCTGAAAGGACATTGGAGCAGCCAACAGGAGTTGATGATAAAATTGTCAGGGACAGTGATCATGAAATTCAAGAGCTGTCTTCATCATTTAGAATCGCTCTTAACATAGGTATGTCAGATGGAGATGAGGAACAAAATGCCAAGGAAATCACCGGATCATCTAAACAAATGCTCAAATCTTCTGTTAAACAATTGGGCAAAAGTGGTGTTGAGCACCATGACCCTGTATTAGAAAGACAATTTGAAGTTGAACAAAATGAATTCGAAGAGAAATCAGTGCAACTGAATGGGGAAAAGAGTAAAGTTGCCACTAATGGCAATACTTCTGCTTCCAATATAGATGCTGCAAATGCTGAAGAGAAACTTGCAGAGAAAGAAACCAGGTTGAGCAAGAATAAACTCAAGTCCTCTCTTAAAAAATCTGGTGAAAAGAAGCTAAGTCGTTCTGTTACCTGGGCTGATGAAAGAAGGGACAGTTCTGGGAGCAAGAATCTTTGTGAATTTAAGGAAATGAGAGATGTAAAAGAATCTTCAGTAGGTAGTACACATATAGTTGATGATGAAGCTACTTTGCGTCATGCCTCAGCAGAAGCCTGTGCAATTGCTTTGAGCCAGGCATCAGAAGCAGTTGCCTCTGGAGGATCTGATGTCGCTGAGGCTGGTAATTTTTGTTTTCTTTAATAGCTTTCCATGTAGACATTATTGCTCGTTTTTGACAGGGTTCTTGTCTTTTCCTAAATCTTGTTTAGTTTCTGAAGCTGGTATAATTATATTGCCAAGTCCTCAAGATCCTGGTGAAGAACAAACTATAGATCAAGTTGATGCAATAGAAAAGGATTTAGTTTCTCTAAAATGGCCTAGAAAGCCTGGAATTTCAGACAATGATTTGTTTGACATGGAAGATTCATGGTATGAACCTCCACCAGAGGGTTTCAGTTTGACTGTAAGTCTTATGAAAATTTCTACAGGCTGCCTGCATTTCCATGACATGCTTTTATTTATAAAGTGGTTAATGCTTTCTTAACTTCTAGTTGTCACCTTTTGCGATGATGTGGAATGCTCTATTTTCATGGATAACATCATCTTCTCTGGCACATATATATGGAAGGGATGAAAGTTTTCATGAAGAATATCTAACAGTTAATGGGCGAGAATATCCCTGTAAAGCTGTCTTAGCTGATGGTCGGTCGTCTGAAATAAAACAAGCTCTTGCGAGTTGTCTTGCTCGAGCTTTACCTGGACTTGTTGCTGATCTTAGGTTGCCAACACCGATATCTACCTTGGAGAAAGGGATGGTATGATATTGAAGTTATGTGATTTTGTTCTACAGTATGATCTGTCACACTTGAGTTAAAAAAAAAAAAGAACCTTGGAATGGAGGATAGTTGTTACCAAGTCATTCCTCATGCCTTAAATTATGGATATATATAATGTATTGCCTTTTGTAAATGCCTGAATGTACTATTATTCAATACTGATTAGGTAATAAAGTAACCCCTCCATTTTTAGTATGGCATGAATATCAATTTTGTTTATGGAAAATAGTGAACTGGCTCTCTGGGGCAGGACATAGAAAAAAGCTTGCTTTATTGGAAATGCGAGAGATCCTAAGGCCCTGTTTGGTACATAGATTTCAATTTAGAGGAATTGGTATTGGGATTAAGATTGGGATTGGGATTGGTATTGGGAATGAGAATGAGATTTTAAAATTATGTTTGGTATGAGGTAATACTTAAAAAAATTATTTTTATTTTATTTTACAATTAAACATAAGTTACAAAAAGACTATAATAACCCTTAAAATTTAAAAAAAAAAATTGTCTGATCCTCCTGAACCTTCTAACGAGCGACCATGGCAGTAGAGCATCATCTTCTCCGATGAAGCTCCACACTCCACCACCCCTTCGTTGCGAGATCCAGAGGCTGGTAGTTGTGAGATCGGAGAAGCAGAAGGCGGTGGCATTTGCTAGACCCAGAGGCCGGTGGCGGCGAGATCGAAGAGGAGAAGGCGACAGCATTTGTGAGACCCAGCGGCCCTTGGGTGCGAAATCGGAGAAGAAGGAGAACCCATCAAAGACGGTGGAGGCGAAGGTAAGAGACCAAACGTGTGCGACAGATCCAAGCAAAACTGAAGAAGATGATGACTGATTCGAGCGATGGATCTAGGATTGAAGCCGACAATGGATCTGGGACTGAAGCCAACGATGGATCTCGAACTAGTGAAGGAAGATGAAATGCATAGGAGGGCATTTTGGTCTTTACAAAAATCAATCCCTGGCTTGATTTTGCAATACTAGGGGGGATGGTGGTACTGGATAATCCCACCTAGATAGGATTATTGGGATTAAAATTTTCATTCCCACATACGAAACACAAAAGCTTGGGATTAGTCTGTCCCAATCCCAATACCACTCCCTCATTCCTTCATACCAAACATGACCTAAGGCTCCCAAATTAACTTTCATTTTTTAAAATGGACAAAATGTGTTTAAGGTTTGGAATTAGGGTCAGGTAACTTGATGTGGGTTTTAGGCCATGGATGACTGTTTCTGCCAGCAGGTTACTGGAATCCTGCGGCAATAATGAAATTTTTCATTTTTATTTGGCTTTAGGATTTTACTACATAAAGTTGAGGAGAATATTGTAATTGTCGTTGATAGAATTTTAAAGGTAATTGAAAGTAGGGTCCATGTCTTGGGTGGCAAGGTGAGAGATTAGAAAAATTATTAACTACTGACAATTGCTAAGTGTGAATGGCAGTGCAAAATAAAGGGGAGAGAAAGCAAACCAGATTATTCACAAGGCTTCAGTAAATCTAAGACTCAAAGTCTCATCAATTTAACGTTGTCTCATTTTTGGCATGATAGTAAAGGAACCTGGATTTCGTGATGGTGCTAGGACTTTGATTCCTTGAGTGACGTTGAGGTTGGTGTAATTTAGGAATAGGGTTTAATTATGGAAATTTGGCAATGAAAAGTTGGTTTGGCTTTTGGGGTTTTTTTTTTTTTTTAATTACAAGTTTGATTAGGAATTTGTTTCCTATTTGCAGTTGGGTTGCTTGTGTTCAAGTTTTGGATTTCATGACTTGCAATGCCTATGCAACGCTAATGTCTCATGGGATCTTAGTCTTGTTACAGAATTGATTAATTGATCAATAGTTAGTATTTAGTCCCTTTTCCTTTATTTTGCTTCTCTATAGTGTGAACTGGTTCATAATTTATCAGACTTTGTTATAGAGGATAAAAGCACTCTTTTTTGGGGAGCAATACGAAAGTTAAACATTGTGTAAGAATTCAGAAATTATGCATAAATCACAAACTATGAACTTCAACCATCTCAGTCCTTTCTGGATAGCAGTAATTCTTTGGTCCAATATGGATGGTATGTTGAAGATAAGGGTTTACATTTTTTCTAGTTATTGCTTGTTAATTTGTGTGTTCATTGAATTAGAGTTATATTGCTGTGCAATTTGATGCATTGAAGATGAAGTGTTGTATCTTGCTTAGTGAGTGAATAACTTAAAATATATTAATCTTTCTACTGTGAAAATGAGATTTTTAATGAGCCGCATTACTTTGAATGAGCCGCATTACTTTTTTAGTGGATGGGTTAATATTTGATGGTGTCCTTGTCACCTCTTAGGAACGCTTGCTGGATACAATGTCATTTATGGATGCGCTTCCAGCATTCAGAATGAGACAATGGCAAGTGGTTGGTCTTCTGTTCATTGAAGCGTTGTCTGTCTGTAAAATACCTGTTCTTATCTCGTACATGACAGATAGGAGGATCTTTCTTCCCAAGGTGAGACCCCTTATGTAGCATTTTCGATGCTTCCATTCAATGTTCTCTTCTCATTTGTGGAAGTTTCTCTTTTTCTATCTAGCTCATTTTGTACGCTGAAAAGATTATAAAGGCAGTGGGTAATTGGATAAAACCATGTCGATATTGTTAGCTCTATGGGCATTGCTACTAACACATTATGGCAAATGCCTGTGATATTACCAGTACCTGCCTACCAATTTGGTCTGAGTGTCTTTTAAAAAAAAAAAAATTATTTCATCTTTTCATTTTTTTAATTGAGGATTGTTTGCAAGCTTCTTTCTGAGAAAAATGAAGTTTAAGGCTGTATTGAGATTATGATAACAGAAAAGGAAAGGGATGATAATTTAGTCTAGACTATTCTTTTTTATTTGAATTTAAATTGAACCCTATTTTCTCACAAATATGTTTGGAGTAAAAAGAACTGATGAGAAAGGGAAGGAAATGTGCTTTTAAATATCAATAAAAAAAAAGGTCTAAATAACACATTCTCTTCGTTGTTTTCTCCATTCTACCATATACTGAAGGTTAACTGATATATTTTGGTGAGTATCATCTCATAATCAACGTTACTTACACCTCATTTTCTGATTTTTTTTTTTTTTTTGGTTAATTATTATCTTCTTGACTTGGGAAAAACAGGTGTTAGATGGTTCCCAGTTAGGAATGGAAGAGTATGAGTATTTGAAGGATCTCATAATGCCACTTGGTCGAGCACCTAATTTTTCTGCTCAAAGTGGAGCCTGAAATGGATTTATCAATCACCTTTGGACTGTTTGACGGCTTGAGCCTCTTGATGGAAAAATTTGCTGCGACTTGTAATAACGTTGGGACAGTTTGGTGCCTATGATTCAATCAAAGAAAAGTTGGCCTGCATATTCTGAAAATTTGTTTTCTGTAGGGCGGAGAAAAATGGAAGCTTGTGATCTGTTGTGGTTATTTAAACCTCGACTTAGGGTCATATTGAAAGAATAGAATGATCAAATGGTACTCCAAAAGGAAAATTAGCAAAAATTGTTCGGTGGCTTGCAAAGAAAATGGCATTTCCTCAGTCTTTTAAATAAGTTATATGTATGACTTAACATTAGATGTTTTTGCATTGTGGAAACTCTGAAGTGCCTGTTTCTTTTTGCTAATATAGAATCAATATTGAATTACAAGGCAGGAAATGCATAATCATTGAAGTTGGGCGGCATAAACATGGCGATGTTAGTCTATTGATCAGCCATGGCCAGAGCTTCATTCATAGTTGATTCTTGTGTTTTAATGCATGAAATGAAGGGTGTGTTGGAGTCTTGACGATGATGAAGGTCCTCTACATAATTCTCACGTAGCATGTTGAGTGGAGCGGGTAAATTAGGTCGGAATGGTTTAATTTGGGTTAAGATTATTTAAATTAGGTTTAAAATATACGAAAATACACACACAGCCGAGCCAGGCTCTAACATTTAACTTTTGGGCAGACCTTGAGTTGTTAAATATTTTTTTATTTATTTATTTGGTTTAAGTCTATTTTTTGTTGAATTTTTTTGAACAACTTAAATAAGCCTAAAGTAAATTTTTTATTTTTTGCAAATTCACATGCATCGAATTGATTTGAATTATTGGCTCTAAATTATTGGATCATGAGTTCTGGTTGGATTGTGATAGCCTTTGAAATCAATTTTGAAGGAGAACTATGACTTGTAAGAATATATTTAAGTATTTCTATTATATGTGAAAATTGGTTATGAACTTAAAATTATGATTTATTTTAAAAAAAAAAAACTCCAAATCCTCATATGCTTGTTAAAATTGATTATAGTTTTCTTAAAAGTATCCACATCATACATACTAAAGTTAGTTATGAATTAAGAATCATAAATTATAAATTAGAATTTATATAGAGTTTCAGGATAAATTAAAAAAATATAATTAAAAAATTAAATTGAAATGCAAGTATAAAGTTGATTAGTGAAATATTTCATGATAATATCTATTTACTATTTAGTAAATACATTGGTCCAATTAAAAACTTACCCTCGATATACAAATAGGTGTGATTTGACTTCCAGAACGTGGGAGAGAGGGAAAAACCTAGTGAGCAAAAATCTGAGAGACCTGCATGGATAATTAAGATGCTTTCTCTTTCATAAATATTATTTCCTTGCAATTTTTTTATCGATAAAAATTTATGCGCGTTGGATGAGTCATTTTTTAATTAATTAAGCTAATTTTATTTTGATAAGTAAAAGTAGTAGGCTCCATCAATTGTAAAAATTATCTCCCTAAATGTTCAGAAGTTAGAGCAAAAGGTTAATATCTCTCAACTAAGTTATTGCATATACAAAACTAGCATTGAGCTAATTTTTATTGACTATTTGCTTATACACGAAATGCAAATGCTTTTCTTTTCTTTTCTTTTTTGCAATGTCCAATTTTTCCTCTTTCTAAAGGCACTCTTTTTTATCCTTTTATTCTTCTACTTTAGAGGTCCAAGAGTTAGGGTTTAATTTATTTTTTTTTAATCAAGAGAAATATATTTAACAAATTTTAGAGATAACAAGATTACTGTAAATGTTGAGAGAAAATTCTAATAACTTATAATAATATTGGGATTTTTTTTGTCTTATTATTTCTTTAATTTATGCATTATTAGGGAGATTTTACAAGAGAAAATCCTTTGATATTTTTGATACATTTTTTAGTATAATTTTTATTATTTTCTTAAATCTCTCAATATCTTTTAAATTTACTTATAATCCCCCAAGACATTCAAATTTCTTCTTTTATTTAAAATTAAGTTTTAAAAACCGGATCGAATCGAGTGATTCAATTGAAAACTGATCACTAATCCAATTTGGTTGGGGCACGTGAACTAAAGAAGAATTGAACTCATCAACAACTGGTGAATCGATCAAAAAATTGAAAAAATTGTAAAAAGTGATAGCTCAAATAGGTTTCTTGATTCACATTAATGTTATTTTGTCCCTCCTCCAATGTTGATGTAATTTTGAGTTTTTTTAAGGATAAAGGGGCAAAAATTTTCACAAATGATCAGTTAAGAGTACCAAATATTTTAAAGTGGAGAAAATAGCAAAAATACGTATAACGTTATATAAGTGGGTTCAAAAGTGACTAGACCGCTAACTTTGACCTAACGCCATTAATTTTGACCGTTAAATGTTAACTATGCATGCCACATGTTAGTCTTTGCTAACATGGATTAATAAAGAAAAACAAATATTCATGAAATTGTCAACCAGGAGCAAAAATACTCATAATGTATGTTATTAAAGTTGGTGAAAAAGTGATCAATCCATCAAATTTATTAAATGTTAACTGTTTAGCTGATATCTAAGTAAAATTTTACCATTTTTTTGCTAACATGGACAAAAAATATTCTCATATAAAATTCTTTGGAAGTTAATTGCTCATTGTATGAATATCATGTGAGAAAATATCATTTTGATTGAATATCAAATTAAATTACTTATTTCTTTGCAGCAGTGTCAAAAATCATTTAAAAATTTTGAACCTATCATAAATGAAATTGTTTAAGACTGTGACAATGTTCTTAAGGTAGGGCGGTGTAGGAGGTGTATTCAGTTTCGATCTTCGACTGTGTACAACCTATCTCACTATTTGAATATCATGTTTTGCAGACAAGAAAAATCAATGAAGAGGGAGGAAGGAAGGAGGCAAAATATGTGGCAATGGAAAGAAACAATGGGGCATGGATTTTGATAGATTGGTCACTAATTATGGATACTCATATAATGATTGATCAATATTTATAAAAATTTATTTGGGAACATTTTTGGTCTACATCAGCAAAAAATAGTCAACTTTTACTTAGATGTTAGCTAACTAAACATTCAACATTTAAGGGATTTAATGAATTGATCACTTTTCACTAATTTTGATAATGTTATAAGTATTTTTGCTCCTAGTCAACAACTTCATAGATATTTTTTTCCCTTTATTTGTCCATGTCAACAAACGCTTTCATGTGACATGCATAGTTAACATTTAATGGTCAAAGTTAACAATGTTATATTAAAGTTAATGGTTTAATTATTTTTGCACCAACTCATATAACGTTATATGTATTTTTACCTTTTTTTTTCACTTTAAAATATTGGGTGTCTCTGGATGATCACTTTATGAATATATTTACCCCTTTACTCTTTTTTTAATTTTTATAATTTTATGATTAAAATAATAAAATGTTGCCTTAGCTAACTTGCTGTGTAATTTTCAAATTTAGCTCTTCCCTTATTGTCTTTGATGCACGGCCGCATGCATTTCTCGCTGGGATTTTCTTCAATCCAACGAATGGCGAAAGCATCTCTGAGCTCGGCACCCTTATCAGACACGTTCTCCGTCTCATATCTGAAGTCTGATCTCGTCTCATCTCCATCACAAGTCTGAACGCCTCTCTTGAGTCTACGCTCTCCGTCAGTTCGTTTTCATCTCTTCCCCCAAGGTCGAGTACTCGAGTCATCTCTGAATCCATGCTCTCCCAATTGAACTTCTTATCATCTCTGAGTCAGTGAGTCCACGCTCTCCACTTTCAACTTGTCATCGTTGAAGATTACAGCTCCGTTTGGTTTTGTTGCTTTTTGGAAGTGTTTTTCCACATTTTCAAAGCTAGATGTTATTTGATATTTAATCTTTTTTAAAAAAGTTTATTTTAAAAATTATTTTTAAATGTTGAATATGCTTTTGGCTAACTTAAAATAATGGTGCTTTTTAAAAGTAAATTTAAAAAATAAAATGTTATTTAACTACTATTTCGAGTTTAATCTTTTAATTTTTTATTTAAAAATTAATTAATTCATTAAAAATATAATATTCATTTTAATAAAAATAATTAGATATCAAATTTTTAGCATTATAAGTTGAATCAATAATTATGTTAATTTTTAGCATTGGTGTATAATAAAAATTACAAATTTTTATTACATTTTTTAAAATTACAAATTAAAAAGTATAAATAATTAGATATCAAGTTTTTAGCATTATAGATTAAATTTTGGGAGAATTACAATTAGCTCTCACACAAAAAATTAATTACTATAAGGTCCATTGACAACTTAATTGAACTGCATTGACAACTGATTGTGTTGTCAGTGTAGTTCAATTTAGTTGTTAATAGACCTTGTAGAAATTAATTTTCTTATATGGGATCTCAATGTAATTGTCCATTAAACTTTTATGTTATTTAAAATCTTTATCACATTTTTTAATATTTTAAATTCTAATATATTACATTTGTATAATAAAAATTATAAATTATCATAAATTAATGTCTTTTTTGATAATTGTACATTTAAAAGCATATTTTACTATCATAATTTAAACAACTTTTAATGCACCAACTAGACTTTTAAAAAAAATATATCCAAATATTAATTTTGTTACAAATACGAACTTTTACTAAATTAATTTTTGTTAAATAAACTTTCATCTAATGAATTTTTGACAAATTAAAAACCCAATGCACACTATATTTGAATCATTAATCTTTTAAATTGCCTTAGCTTATCTTTAGTTAAATCCCAAATTGCATGTTTATTCTTTTATTTTTGCGGTTGTCTAAAATTGTTCTTTATCTTGAATTCTTTTTTGTTACTTAAATCTTGAATTGCCTTGTATAGAGCCCTGCTTTTATTTTTGTGGTTGATTATTTTTTATTTTTTAATTTTTCTTTTGATATTGGATTGTTATATTATGGATTTGGCTATTATATTTTAGGTTTGATATCAATATTTGTTATTTTTTAATTTTAAATGATATTTTTATGCTTATATAAGAATTTAATTAATAGTTTTTAAATGTATATTATTTAAATTTAAAAAATATTAATTTATTAGTGATCGGCAATTCGACCCTCATCTAATCATTGAATTATAAACTATTACCTCAATTTGATGATCAATTCGATTTTAAAAACCTGGTTTAAAATACTATAGATATAGATATAAAGTACATATTTTATTTTTTATTTTAAATTTAAATATATAATATATAATTTATGAACAACTATCCTAAACGCAGTACCCAATCTTATACATTTATTTTTAAAATTCTAGGCATCATACGATAGTCATTAAAGATATATTACTCCCTCTTCTCGTTTTATTATTAGATAAAGTGTGCGCGCGTTTTGAATATA